GAACTTTACATATTCATGTTATACTATACTAAACTGGTTAATAGGATGTAACTAAATAAACACATATTTTTTACCAGATAAAAATGTTTAGCAAAACGGAATATAATTTCATTTTAAAGAAATGAATTGACACACAAATTGACACAGATAATAATCTTTAAAATGTGAAGAAGAAGAAAAGGAGAAAATATACAAACAAAATCCAACTCAAAAAAGAATATTCTTACACAACAAAAAACAAAGTAGCAATATTCAAGACCTGAATAAAAACATACCTCTCTTATTATAAAAAGTTAAACAAAAAGAGTTGAAAATTGTATATTTAGCATATAAATCAGCTATATTAACTCCATACCTATTTAAGTACCAAAGAAAATGAAAACAAATACTAAGCATGTTAAACTGTTTGTTCGGGCTGTTAGACCGTTGTCTTCTGAGATTAGTTCTCGACGTTTCATGCATTTGTTACAGAAAAATGGAAAATGAACTAGGAAGGAACACTGAATGCCAGAAAAACAAAAACGAACGCTTAACCAAATATAAGGAGGTAGAATCAAAACAACACACAGAAAGGACAGTGATCAACCTTTCAGATAAGGTTTTAACTCCAGCCGAAACATCATTGCTAGCCAAAGAGGGAAATTTTGCGATTGCACCTTAAGTTATACCCAAAGAGGATATCATCGCTAATATCGAGTCTGCGATTCGCAACTTACCAATCTAAAAAGCTGAAGAAATTACAGAATTAGAATTTTGCATAAAGCTAAGACCAAGCTAATTTTACCAGTAGACAAGGGAAACGCCACCGTCGTAATCAAGACAACCGACTACAAAACGAAAATACAAAATCTTCTAGACCTGCGGCATATAAAAGACTTAAAAAAGATCTCACAGCAGTCACTCTACGGAAAATCAATAGATTTATAAAATCTTCGTCCATACCAGAGGATACAAAGCCAAGAATATGCAACAGCGACGCAGTCTCACCACGCTTGTATGGCTTACCGAAAATACACAAAGACGATGTACCTCTACGCCTTATTGTGAGTTCCATAGGTTGTGAGCTCCATAGGGTCTGCGTCTTACAGCCTTGCTAAATATCTGGCCGATAATTTACAACCATACATAGGAAAAAACGATGCCTTTGTAAAAGACTCATTTCATCGAAAAGATCAAAGGAATAACTTTCAACGAGCCTGACATTCTTGTTAGCTTTGATGTTGTCTCCCTATTTACAAGAGTTCCCCTAGAAGACGTTCTGAATTTAATTGAGGGACTAGTTTCCAAGGATATGATGGAATTATACCGTATTTGCCTCACTACCACCTACTTTTCATGGGAAGACCATATGAACAGGTAGATGGACCAGTGCGTTCTACCAGTCCTCACATACGGAGCAGAAACCTTAACTCTCATAAAAACATCAGCCGAATAATTGAGCACACAACGAAAGATGGAGAAATCAATGCTTGGAATAAGCTTAAGAGATAGAATAAGAAACGAGGAAGTTCGTAGACGAATCGGAGTGGAAGACATTATCGAAATAAGGCAAAAATGGAGATGGGCTGGATATGTTGCAAGAATGAAAGACGACAGTTGGACAAAAAAATTGCTTGAGTGGAGACCACGGGCTGACAAGCGAAGCCGAGGAAGACCCCCAACGCGATGGACCGACGATCTCAAAAGAATCGTGACCAATTGGATAGCAGAGGCGCAGAACAGAAGCGATGGAAAAATCTAGAGGAGGCCTATGTTCAACAATGGACAACTCAGGGCTGATTGATGATGATGATGAGATGGAGTAGCAATGGGAAGCCCACTAAGCCCGGTCGTAGCCAACCTTTTCATGGAGCATCTAGAGAAGAGGGTAATGGAGTCAGTATACAATCCAAGGGTATGGTTTAGATACGCCGATGAAACTTTTGTGATTTGGGGCCACGGAGTAGAAAAACTTAACTGATTTCCTGTCTTATATAAACACACTATATCCAAATATTCAATTTACAATGGAAACAGAGAAAGATCAACAAATAGCGTTCCTAGATGTATTAGTAAATCGAAAGGAAGGTTACTTAGGACATAAAGTGTATCAAAACCTACACACACGGACAGATTCCTAAACAGGAACTCAAATCATCATCTAGGCCAAAAACAAGGTATCATCAAAACTCTGGCGGAGAGGACGAAGATAATTTGTGAACCACAGCATCTGCAAAGTGAACTTCTTCATATTGAAAAAGCGCTCACCTCTAATAGTCATACCAGAAGAGAAATACATAAAGCGATTAACAATGTTTCTAGAAGAAAGGACGAAGAAACAGCATGTATAAGCACAGCGTTCTTGCCCTATATATCGGGGGTAACAGACAGAATTGGGCGAATACTTAAAAAAGCCAATGTAAAGACCATTTTGAAGCCTACGAAGAAAATCAACGACTGTTTAAGATCGGTGAAGGACAAACGGGACCCACTAGCAACGGCCGGAGTATACCGAATACCATGCACATGTGGAATTGTACATGTGGGAAGCACGAAAAGACATACAAATACAAGGATAAACCAACATAAGAACCATTGTCGTTTATGACATATCGACAAATCTGACGTAGCCGAACATGCTTTGGGAAGCGGAGAACATCGGATACTCTTTTAAGAAACGCAGATGCTGGATAAAACATCACAGTACTACCCACGGTTATATCGAGAAGGAGAAGGACTAAAAATTAACAAAAAATGGATACCAATATTAAAAACGGCACTGGCAACGCGCAGTGTTGACATTGGTAGCGACTTATCGCGAAAATAGCGACTTCTTATGTGCATTGCGACGTAGCGGAGATTTACAAAAAAAAGTCATTTTGTAGCGACTTTCTCGAGCATAAAATAAAATATATTTATATCGAAATGTCCAATTATATTATATGGCCATGAATTGATTTATTTGATACATATTTAAATTTGATTTATTTAAGAACGTGCACTACTGATTACTAGTTGCCTTGTAATTTGAGAGTTGTTTTGCGCTTCTCTTTATTCGGGTCTTCCCCGGAATGCATCGTTTAATAACATGCACGCAACTTTTGCTTTCGTTCTCGTGCCGGCAAGCGGGGTATTTCGTTTCTCTTCTCGCTGGTTCTCGGTCTGTTGGTGTATTTGGATTATTTATTTGACGCATTTATCGCTTGGCGTTTGCTTTTTGTCTTGTATTACAGTGACTGATAATACCATAAAGAAATACTTTGAAGCGTCTACTTCAGCCTGGCTTTTTGTATTAAGGCTGTTTTATCGGTGCACCAAAACCTAGGGACTGTTATTTGCCGACAAAATGTCTCGAAATTTAGACACAAATATTCGAAATTATGTTGCTTTTAAAATGATGGTTTTACTTTTTTTATTTTTTTGAAACTTCTGTTCTGTTGAAAAATTGGATTATACTGTTTAACGTTCTATTATAACCAAACTTTTACGCTCATCACGTTTTTTTCTGTAATCGTTGATTTTTTTTCACCTTTCTGTGTCCAGAAATAATCGAGAAAAGCGTGTTTCAACTTTGAAGAAAATTGCTAAAAAAAATTAAAATCTAATAGTGAAACGTGTTACTCATCATTGTCGCTTAGGTTCACCGTTATTGCCTTCGTGACGTCAAATCTCATGAACGTACGGTCAGGTAGTTCGTGTTAAAACTAATTTGAATGGAGAGTAATGCATTTGTTGTCATTAAACTACCGGTTGGCCGGCGCCACTGACTAAAGATAGTGTCGCGTAAGCAGTGTAGAAATGTAAGTGATACGCCTATTTCAAATCGCAGTGTGCTTGAACTGCTAAAACAGCCTTAAAATTAAAATTACTGGGAAAAACTTGCGGGCCTATTTTTTATTCTACTATTTTAGTACGCTATATAAAATTTATATAGCATATTAAAAGAGTAGAATATCTTTTTTTGTCTCGGATTTTTAGCAGATACTTAACTCTTTTTTTTCTAGAGAAAGGTACCAAAACTGTTTTTTATTTTTTAATAATTTTAACGAGTATTGGGTGAAACTTGGGTGTAGCACCCTCAAAATTTTCCATCTTCGACGGTTGGGCCTCTGGTGGCGCCTTCGGCGGATCTGTTTTTGTCCCCAATTGGCTTTTCAGCGATAATGATAAGTAGCGACAATGTAGCGACTTTTTTACCGTCATTTGGAGATTTTCATTCTTCTCTACCTGGCAACAGCTTACAAGCGAAGCAGTAACTTCTCCAGAAGATGCCAACCCCTAGTGTTGGCGAAATGTCGAGAACTAATCGCAGAAGACAACAGCCCGAACAAACAGTTTAACAAGTATATATCAAATACTAAGATGTTCAAAAAAGTAAGAAGGGATTTAAATAGTCACCTCATTAAGTAAAAGTTTGCTGATTATCAGTTAAATGTATATGTATTTACTTTTATTGGCTACCTTTGACACCAATGAACTGTGTAGCACTTTCAAATAATTCTAGAACATACTTCAGGTATAGACAGACATTTCATACATATTTTATGGTATCAAATCTATTTCTCATACCACTGGAATATTTAAAGACGACTGAAAGAATGTGAAAACAACTCAAAAGAAATTGAAGAGGTAAATTCTTGGGAAAAGACTGGAAAGCTGTAAGGTAATTAAAATCTTTCCACAAAATTAATTTATGTCAAATATCAGGTTATTAGATCAATTATTAAAAAATATATAATACTAGAGTAACTGAGGGAGAGCAACCTTAGATAAATTCACACAATAATATTTATTTATGTTGAGTTCCTAATATTACATATAACCGGATATCTATCTGATAATTACCAGTGCCAGATATACTGGACTGAGCTTACACTAACTTCTAACAAAGCCTATCGTATTGTACTGACATCAACCTGTAGTTTGGCACATTGAGGCAATGCTCATAGCCTAGGGAGCAACTACATCTTAATAACTGACAGTTTCGTATATTTCTGTTAGTAACAACTAAATAAAAAATTTTAATTTCTGATATCACGTCCTCGTCGTACATTATAAACTCTGTCTTCCATGCCGTCACATTCAGTTACCAGGGCCCGTTCCAAAATCACTCTACCCTCTTTATATTTTTGATTGTCTTCGGTAGCGAATTCGTACATCCATCCTAATTTGTTTTCACAAGATTTGCAGGAAACATCCCTCACCTAGTACATAAATACTTTATATTAGTTTTTTATAAACTTTCTAGTTACATAAACAATAAAAAAATCACTAAAAAGTCATTATTGTAAATTATAAATTAAAAATCGCGCATAGTAAAAAATGGAACAGAATTCTTCTTCATTAGATATGTGATACTAATCTTATATGCTCCATGCTGTTTCTTTGTCTTCAGGATTCTTCTATATACATGTGTTATTCGCCGAATATTTTATGAAATAAACAAAAAATTAAACATAAATGACATAATTATGTTTTGTTACTATATAAATAAAATATTCGGTGAAAAACATGCCACAAGAAAATAGTTCTGGAACCATTAGTTTCTTCTTTTAATCCAGCCATTCTTAAAATGTTTTATGAACAGGTACTTGTTGTGAGGTTATTATTCAAAGTATCTTATTTTAAATCTAATTCAATAACTTGATGATCCCATCAGTTGGTCTATTTTAATATTTATATAAAATAATTATTTCCCAAAAAATTATGTGCCATTACATATATATTTCTACTGACTAGATAATTAGTTTCTAACCTACATTCATTTTACATATTCCCAAATGTCAACAAATGCACGTGAAAGCCAAACAGGGTCGTACTGAGGTGTATCATATGATTTTTTAAAATATTTACTTTTGAGACTATTAGTGTAAGAATTTCTTGAAATTTAATCATTGTGGGCAAAATTTAATGTTCCATTGAAAAAAATATGCTAAAATAAAATATTCATTAACTGAGAGATGCATAACAAAGTGAACATTTTGAATAAAGGTCTGGGATTTATTATTATGGGTTCAATATGGTTCTCTATTATATTGCCCAACTTCCACATTTTGGAATCGACTTTTTGTTGAACATGTTGCACACATTTCTGCATATTTATCATTTCTGCAAATTTAAAAGTAGTGTTTTTGGCTGCTACATAATATTTTACTTCTATCCAGATCAGCTCAATTGGATTGAGCTCACAATGGTATGGGGGCAGCCTTAACACTACTTTGTTTTGGTTTTTTGCCATCTCATCGATGATATATTTATTATATTGTCCCTTATGTTCCTTAACGGTAGCCAGCAGTTGCACTTTTAACATGGAGTCCTCAAACCCCATATTTTTTTATTTCAGCCACGCTTGGATGTCAGCTTTTCTAGAAGCAGTAGTTGCAATTTTCTCCAATGATGGAGTTATCTTCTAATCGGGGCAGTATATTGTTTAACCAATTGTCGAAGGATTTCCCGTCTATCTCTTCATGATAGTCCTCACTTTTTTTTATTCAAACACCCACAGCCCTTCTGGAAAAATCCATCTTCACTGCCAATGTGACAGATTATTAGTCTTTTTTCTTTTCCTGAAAATTTTATTATTTTAAATTTTACTTGAAGTGAAAAAGCACATAAACATTTACCTGCAGGATTTTTTTAACCCCGTAGAAAGTCCATCTAAAAACGCTTGTTTATAAGACGTTACCGAATTATCGAACCATACTTTAGATTTGGTATGACCAGTGTTTAGCCAAGTCTCGTCTTGGTAGTAAATTTTGCGGTTTTCATTTCTGTAGGACTTAATTTTTATCAGAAATTCTCGTCTCCAATAGACAATTTCGTTCCTGTCCATCGAAATGCTATTTCGCTGATGACATTGAAACTTTAAATTTATTTCTTTCAATAATTTAGAAAACATAGTTCTTTTGAAGCTAGACAAAACCGGATCTCCATTAACAACCCTCGGAACTTTGTCTATTGTGGGTATTTCATTTCGAAAACAGAATTGATGGATTATTCTTCTTATTGCTTCTCTGTCAAATTCATCCAGCGAGTTAATAATACTTTTACGATGCTTAACTGATTTTGGTGTCGACAATGTTCCCGTAATTTCATATTCATGATCCACATTGCTTACACTACAGTTACACACGTCTACAATAGATAAAAAGTAACAATATTTGTTAAATAAAGTGAAAATGCGCACTCTAAAATAAATAATGGAGAAACAATATCTCAGTACCTGTTTTATCTGCTACTCTAATAAAATCGCGCTTTTCGATATTGTAGGGTTCTCCGGCATTTCCGTTTTAAACACATTTATAATCATTTCCTTCCTTTTAACGTCAAAATGTCCCTTTACTGGTCTTTTTTTAGGTGAAGTGAGGGTTAAATCAATATCAAGGAGTTTACGGCTGTATCAGTGCTTGACATTTTTGTTATTCTATTTATCTTCAATAACTTAATGTACTTAGTTTATTGAAAGAATGTCAAAATAGCCTAGGGAAAAATAATATGTATTGTAATAAAACCAGCATCATCGAAAATATTGGTAAAGTTATGAAACTGCACTCTGTATATTTTTTCACACGCAAAAACAGAAAAACAAAAAAAGGTAATATTGTGCCGATGTATGTTTTTCCCTAGCGGTGAGTTTCACCCATGTGAAAAAACATACTTTCAAAATAAGTCAGGAATTGGATAAACTGACTAATTCTAAGCAACCTTTGTTCTACAGTTTTTTCACTGAGTCAATACTTTTCGAGTTATTTGCGAGTCAATATGTTCATTTTTCAACAAAAAAACTAGGTTTTTTACATGGTTTTTGCAAATAACTCAAAAAGTAAGTATTTTATCGAAAAAATATTCTTAGCAAATATATAGCTTATGAAATAGCAAAAAAAAAATGGTAAAGCCAGAAGAACATTAGTAACGAAAAGGCTAATAGAAAGTAGGTTCTTATTCATCAAATTTCAAATCGAATATTTCAATGTCAAAGAATAAAAAAAAAACAAGCACTTTCCCTGACAGTGAGTTTTCCCCGAAAAGTGCTTCATTTTTTTGATATTTCTCGTTGAAATATTTGATTTGAAATTTGAATTACTTTTCATTAGCTACAACTCTGCTTTTACTGAGTCTACAGACTTCATATAGCTATAAGTACATTTTTTTTAACTTTTTTTTAGCTATATTTTTGCTAAGAATATGTTATATGATCATATTCACTTGCAAATAACTCGATAAGTATTGACTTTGTGCAAAAGCTGTATAAAATGAAAGTAGCTTAGAATTACTCAGTTTATTTAATTCTGGAATTATTTTGAACCCATGTTTTTTCACACCCGAGAAGGGGTGAAACTCACCTAATGGCAAAAGCACATATCTGCACAATACCACTTTTTTTCTTTGCTGTTAGCTCTGTATATATCAAATTTCATGTCAATCCAAGTGGTTCTTTAATATTTACAGCAAAACCGTGAATAAATGGACTAAAAAGGAAATAAAACTTTTCGAAACATCAATAAATTAAAATATTGGTTTCTCTTACCTTTATTAAAGTGATTACCGCAAGCTATTTTTAACTTGTTAAACTGTTTGTTCGGGCTATTAGGCTGTTGTCTTCTGAGATTAGTTCTCGACGTTTTGCCAACACTAGAGGTTGGCATCATCTGGAGATGTTTCTGCTTCGCTTGTAAGCTGAAACTGACACTTATCAAATAGAGGATAGCCCGAACAAACAGTTTAACAAGTTAGATGATGGCCGTGAAAGCCTAACGCAGTTTATCAAGCTATTTTTACTTTTGATTAACAAATGCTTTGTTTTTGGATACTAAACATTCACTATATACTATAAAACTTAATACTAAACACTTAAACTAAACTCTAAAAATAACACGACCAGTAAATAACTTAAAAATAACATATAACACACAATATATTAGTTTATTCGTCTTCCGGGTTTGGACCGTGTCATTTGTGAGTGACCCAAAAGTGGGTTCAGAGATGAACCCACTTTTGGGTCACTCACAAATGACACGGTCCAAACCCGGAAGACGAATAAACTATAATTCTGACTCTGGCCGTGGAAGCCTACGATTTCACACAATATATTAACTTAAAAACCAAAACGCTACAATTTCAATTTAAACAGACTGGCAAGTTTAGACCTGTAAAGTGAGAATCTGTCTGGCTTATGGCAATAAGTTATATTTAATAGCCTCTTGATGAATGAGAAGGCGAATATCAACACATGCTTTTGTCGATAGTTGGGAATTTTCAAGATTAAGTATTAGGATAATTAATTTGGACAATTAAAAGTCATAAGAATTGAAATCTACATATTTGTAGATTTATATATCTACATATCTACATGGTTTAAACAACTGTACCATCCTATTTGATTATCATAAGCCAAGGAAATTATAACAAAGTACACTTTATACATTTATATTTAACCTCCTTCGAGTTAAGTTTATAACAAATTATGATAAATTCATAAGAAACACTAATACACAAACTGTTTTGTTTCTACTAAAATCACAAAAAACAAAGTACATATTGTAATATCCTGAAGAGCACATTCCTAATATTTTAAATTTTTATACAGATTAAAACAAAATAAAGTGTTTTTCACATTTTAACGCTAAGAAATATTACACAATACTGTAAATATAAAAAAAAATTATAATTACCATATGCCGTCCTGTTAGCATTACTCTATCTTGTACTTCACTGTATGTCAAATTGACAACTTTATTAAATAAAAAAGCTCTGCCAGTGGCCCCAGTGAATCGGGTGCTTATTAATTCTGATCTGTTTGTTAAATTAGTTCCACAATTAGCACAAGAAAAAAGGCGATTACCACCCATATGCTCTAGAAAAACTCGACCCATTTTCCTAAAGAAAACGGAAAAGCAACCGTCAATAATATTTCTTTAGTTTCAAAATACTAAATATAAACAATATTAATATCCTACCTGTTCTGGATAAATAATAAAGCTAACTGAATGGATGGATGCAGAATAAATGACTTTTTTGTAAAATCAAAACAAAACAACCTACAACAGCTGATGATTGGCAGTTAATTGCATTATAACTTGGCAACACTGGATAGAAATTTCTTTGTTAAAACATTTCGAAAGAAAATCTCAGGAAATTCTAAAAATACTTCAAATTTTAAATTTTATTTTCAATCCAAACGGATTTATGTATATTAATTAATAATTTAAGTATTATTTGATTGGTAAGTGGTAGCTATAAAATATAATATATCAACATGATATCAACAAAACTTGGGAATTGTGTCTACTACTCCTAAATCCGTACATAGAACTGAAATCAGTATCAGTAATCAGTATGATTTTTTTTAACATACATCTCCGTAAAAATGATATTATGGGATGTAGAGATTTATTAAAAATCTACCGAAAATTGTTAAGTATCTCTTTAATATTAAAGTGTTCTCTATAATCTGTATATTTGTTTATATTTATAGTATCATATTTGTCATCGATATGTTGCATCTCGTTCGCGCAGACGGAATCAGCCATGTTTTAAACGGAACCAGTGCTGTTCAGTGACATTTTATCTGGTGTGCATAGACAAATTAACCCGGTTTAATTTATTTACGGTAACTACAGACATTTAAGCACTATTTTATACGCACTTTAAGTTGAAGAATAGATTAAATTATTTCAAATGACGTTTGATAATTAAATTATAAAGACGTTTACCGTTTTAATGGGAATAAGCCACAATTGAAAAAAAATAGCTTTAGAACAATATGAAGTTGTTTCTATCTGTAAGATAAACATTATTAAAAATATAAAAAAGTTATTAAAACAGCATCGTTAATCCAATCATAATAATTATGATGAATATAAATTACAACTGTTCCTAGTTCCTATTCGTATTAAACAGGCGGTTCGGTAAAATATACACTACCACAAAGTAAATTGTCATTGCACTGTCACAAGTCATTTATCATCGGTTCGTCATTCATTGTCCTTTTTTGGATAAAAAATTCCAGTAAGTATCCGCATAACACCAAATGGCTCATTTTTCATCCAGTTATGCTCATTAAAAATCCGAAACCGGGTATAAGAAAGTGGCTAAAACGAGGGGCTGTGGCTTTATTCGTTGTAGAAGGAGCAAGTTTTGTTGGAAGCTATTTTCTTTGGTATAGAGTCAACACAAATAGAGGTACTAATAATACATTTGCTGAAATTCTATTTAAAATTATTTTCTTTAAATAACACTAGAATACTATGTTCTTTGTTTGATCATTAATATCAATCAATGTCAAATTGACTAGATAAAAAGGAGATTATTTAGTTTTCATCTATTATAATTAGAGTACATAATAAAGGTATGTTAATATTTAATATTGTTGCACTATGAGGAAATGCAGATTGCTTGCTTATTTGATATCGTTAGCTTGATGTTTATTATTGTACATCTTTACAATTTACAGTGATTCAGGAAGTCAACTTCTCAATTAGTAATTTTCCATCAAACTTATGTTGCTTCTAATTTTGTTTCCATACATAATTTGATCTAAGTAACTTTATTATTTTGTCAAATAATGTATAATTCGGCCACATCGTATGTTTTTACAATAGTCTGTTTATAAAGAAAATGTGTGCCTTGTTGACTAAGGTATTTGGGTTCTCTACTAATCAATCAGGAAAATTCAGCTGGTACATGGTGTGATTGTGTTGTTCCCATTCTCTCAAATCAGAATGATTAGTTTCATACATTCATTGTTTCATTCATATGAAAAAGTTGTATGTTAACAGTGTAATCAACTATTAAAACTTTCAAATATTGTGAAGTTTGTAAAATTTAAGATTATTTTTTATTTCACATTAATTGCAACTAAGCAATTTGTTGTCTAAGATAGTAATTTTTTAGATACAAGAAAGTATTTATACCAGAATTATCCCTCAGTTTTGGAAGCATACTATAAAATTGGAGAAACCTTTGATCCCCAAAATCAAATACGACAAATTGATTTGGCGTACTGGAATAAGGAATCTTAATGGCATCTAGACTTGTTAGATCATTATTCTGGTTAGTTGCTTGTGGAGGTGTAAGTTATGGTCTTTTAGTTTTTACTACACCATCAGAAGAAGAAATTAGAAAAAGAAAAGAGGTAAATTAACAGGTATAATCTTGAGCTCTTTTAACCTTCATATCATACTTTTACTAATAAACTAGAATCAATCAAGAATACAGATTTTCAGCAACTGAAAAAAATTAACTTCTATGCAATTGTTTATAGATTTTAAATAGACAGGTTCTGTTCATAAACACAGGGTGTTATTTTCTTAAAAATTTGAAGTGCAGGTTTTACAGAAATTTTTCAAATCGTTCTTTCTTAATAGCATCATTCTCGTCTTCTTAGGTGCCTTTTATTTGTGGTCGGCATTAATCAAGTCAAATTCATTTCTGTCATAAGCTTGATGTATCCATGTATGCAAAAGATTAATATTTGCATATAAAACAAATTTACCTATATTTAAAGTTAAATATAAAAATATTACATTAGTTGTAAAATGATTTAATAAATGTGGATTACAAGGTAAAGTATAAAAATATTTTTAGAGCCTTTTAAAATAATGTGGAGTAATTCTTTCAATAATTTATGTGTTAGTTCACTATTTAGATACTTACATACTATTTTAGCTTTTGAAAAGACAATTGGCATTGGTTACATCTATACAGCTACTAATATATTCTACAGTTGTCTGAGGCACCAGCAACTTTAGGAATGAGATGAAGATTCCTGTGGTTCCAAAAATGTTCATTATGAACAATTGAAGCAAGAAAATTGATGCAATTTCTAAAAAAAACAGATGAGAAATTCCAAAATGTAAAATTTATGAAACTTTGAAAATGATTAAAGAAATGTCCAGAAAGTTGAATTGTATATTGATAGAAGTTTCGGAAATTGTAGATTAGAAGAATCATGTCTCAGATTGGTTATATAAAAGGGAATTACTAATTTGAAGCATGGCACCAAAATATGATCTTCTGTACAAAACCTTTGAAAATGACGATGATGCAGAATTTAAGCTGCAGCTGCTCCAAAAGTTTTTAGAATGGGTCTATTGTGTGAATTGCAAAGAAGATGTAAAACATTGGTTCTGAAAATGTGAATTATGTGCAACGGGCATTTGTTCAATTGCTAAAAGCAGGTCGAGCTATCAGAAGAGTAGACAATTAATGAAAAATCAGAATATCTAGACTAACCATCAGATGGCAACTCTAATGAATTGTCCACATGCCATTTTATTTTATTGCATGTGTGTAAGGAAGCACTCTATGTCTATTTTAATATTTTTTTATTTGTAATGTTATTATTTTTTTTTAATCTGTAATAAGAATAATGTGATATGAGTAATATGACGTTATTTCCTCAATTATGTACAAAAATTTACTCGTAAGTTTTGGTGGTGTCAATATTCAAAAGCCTATTGTCAAAATTTCGTGTTATTAAAATTATTATTTACTGAGTTACAGTACAGAAATTTCGTTTGTTGATTTATCACTGTTATTTGATAAGAAATAATTACCTTCCAACTGAGCAATAGCTCAAACAAACAGGACTCTGGGTCATCGAAAACAACTGTTAAACAATGGTTTGCTGAATTTAAATGCAGTTATAATAACACCAATGATGCTGAGCACTCTGGAAGTCCAAGTGGAGCACTTATTCCCGAAAACATCGAAAAAACATCCAAGTGGGGCACTTATTCCTGAAAACATGAAAATTATTATGATAAAACACAAATTGACGGCAAGAGATAGCTGACACTCTAAAGTTATCAAAGGGTAAAGTTTTAACTATTATAAACGAATATTTGGGCATGAGAAAGCTATTTTCCAAATGGATGCCGCATTTTTTTCTCACACCAGAGCAAAAATATCAATGAATGGATGAGACTCTGCTCTGTTTGAACATATTTAATTGAAATAAGTTTTTTTGTCGGTATGTCGCAATGGACGAAACATGGCTCTACTACTTTACTCCGGAATCAAACCGGCAATCATCTGAGTGGGTAGCACCCGAAGGAAGCCCCAAAGCGACCAAAGACGCAACAAACCATCGGAAAGGTTACAGCCTCTGGTAAATTGGACACAACCTCCTGCTAAATTGGGCTGTAAATTACTTTCGGAGCCACCGCCTAGTCCAGATCTGGCCCTCAGTGACTACCACCTTTTTTCGATCTAAAAAAAATGCTTCGTGGAAAGAGATATCGGTCCGATAAGGAAGTAATATCGCCGAAACCGATGCCTGTTAGGGCGGCATCGAACAATTAGAAAAGCGTTTGAATGATTGGGAGATTATTTTGATGAATAAAGATTCATTTTTACAAAAAAATATTTTACTAGTTAGGGCCGGGACTCATGTAAAAATGTGAGTTTGGTTAACTACGGTAAGAAGAACAAAAAATGAACACTGGGAACAGTTTACAAAAAAGATGGAAGGCGACTTCTATGGTATACAAAAACAAATCCAGCAATAACATACCAGCAAACAAACGGGAAAGATACCTGATGGAACTGTTTAAAGCAAAGGAAAATAACACAATAACGTACCTGAATTAAGACACGAAATAGCATAACCAACGAGCTTCTAAAACACGAAGGAGAAAGTATAACCCTAGAGATGACAAAACTTATACAAAAACTAATATTGCACTGCAAGATACCAGACACATGGAGAAACAGCATAATGATACCAATGTTCAAGAAAGGAGATAAAGAAGACCCCAACAATTATAGAGGTATTAATTTACTGAACACCGCACTTAATCTTACCACAAAATTCCTAACCAACAAAATCAATAAACTAGCAACTTTATCAGATAAACAACAAGGATTCAGA